TTAGAAATTTGTTTTACGATTTTCTTGTTCTCACAAAAACTTCGATTTCTACCTTTATTTAGATACTATGTTTTTTGCAAAGTCTTTGAAAATGTAATGGCTCTTCATTTCTAATAATTCCTTTCAATGTAAAATATACATTTCATTCGCAAAAGGGATTTAAGAAATTTTTCAAAAAATAAGAGCCAAGTGGTGTGATATACGAATATCATTTCTTTTGAAATCCTTACAATAAGAAAAAAATCTTGAAGCGGGAAAGATTTAAGAAAATATGTGTAGATTTTATTGAAATTACGTCGGGGATGAATGTCAATGATAAACAAAAACAGAAAACGAGATAGTGTGTTTTTGGTTCAAAGATTAAATGACGTGGAATACAGAGTGAACGATTTATCGTCTGCGGAGACGCTGGAAATCATTGGTTTTGCGGAGAGACTGTTCGGCTACCCTGCAAGTCTCACCGCTAATTTTAACAGGATTGTAATGAACCACAGGTATAAGATTACACTGTGAATAAGGTCCGTGTTACATTCAATATCATCTGATTTCTCAAAAATAACTTTCTTTGAATTGAATAAAAGAAAAAGACAGTTTGACCGTATACCTTCTTCGGTAACTCAAAAAACACAATGCCCGCACACGTTTTTCCATTAGATCCTGTACGCATTGAAACTTATTTTGTTAACAAATTAGACAGGTAAGAGCCAAACAATTTCTTACCACCGTGAAGAATAGCGTTTTTACGTTCATTTAAAGTATTTTCGGAAACATTTCATCCCAGTCGATCGAACAAACATAGTGCATGAACTGGCTTCGATAGAAGCAATGCGAAGCGGTGAGGGGTGACGCCAGTAGGCGGCGCCGTGGTGAGGACTGGATTGCGCCCCCGTTGGCGCTCTGCCGCTCTAATTGGCGCAAAAGCCCGCAGGCTCCAACGTCGGATCCGAGCCGCCACCGTTGTTCCAGGAAGCCGATCAATGCTGATAACCTAGTTTGCGGTGCCCGTCCACAAACTCACGACTTAATTGCTCGCAAATGCGGCCCCAATGAAATTGTATGCGGATGCAACCTGCGCAGATTGAAGTCACGGGCTTCCTGTTTCAATGAACGTTGTCGATTGAATTTTAAAATAATTCTATTGTAAGCAGAAGTTCATTTCGTTGCAAATGGAATGTACTAATTAACGAACATAATGATCAAACGCACTAACAGGAAAATCGTGTTATTCAATCGAAATATTTAATTTTCGTTAATTGCATCACCAGCTTTGAACGTAGCAAAACTCGAGTTCATATGTGCATGTTAACTCTAATTCGTACTGGAAGTGGAATTATAGTTCCGAAGAAGTTTGTTATTATGTAGAGGAATTAAAACGCCAAAATGCAACATTGAAATCACTAGTAGGTTTTATGGAACAGTTTCAATGTTACAACAGATTGCTTTTGTCGACTGCAAAGGTAGGTAGATCCGTAAGAATTCGAAAAATGAGAGACAGTATATATAAGAAAGCTGTCGGGAGTGCCCATTTGCATGTTCCATATACTTTTTAACCCGAAAAATTAGTTACTGCCTCCGCGTTTCAATCGCATGTATCGTGCAGTTCAGAGAGCATGGCAAGCAATCTAGCATACAATTAATAGAACGACATAGTGGTGCACCATGCCTTCTTCGCGCGTCTCAAAAATATGTTTCCAACATGTTAATCCAAAGCATTCTTCGTTTCTCTCCATTGAACAAGGTTCCTGGCACCGGGTTTTATAATAATACATTTTCTCCCAAAGAATGAGATACAAATCTTCCTTTTCTTGATTTACTCCTTTTATATGATTCACGCCCTTGACAATTTCGAGGAAGGCAGGCGAGATACGATATTTGTAAACAAACCGCAGACGCCAATCCGATAAATCAGCGTCGTGGAACTTCCCCGCCTCCGCTCGCCTACCCCACAGCCCGCGCAGGCTCTCGCACGGATGAGTCACGCGCACCGAGGGACACCAAGCAGGAGAACAGGCCCGCGGCGCGACGGGCGGGGGAGGGGGAGAGCACGAGAGGGCGGGGCGGGCGGGTGCGAGGACGCTCGAGGTCGAGGCCGAGCCGGTGATGGGGTGGGGCTGAGGAAAGAATAGAATATCGGGAAATACGATCGATCAAATTCCTGGCGGAGGTGAAGTGAGTTTCCGCGTAAGAGTCCGGGATGTCGAGTCGATGTTTTCAAAATATCTATATTTTTATCACATTTTTATTAAAGCAACGAATTATTGAAGACGAAGCGATTGTATTGATTACGTCGATGTTTTAACGTGGTAGTTATCATCATCATCATCATCATCATCATCATCATCATAATATCTTTTCCTTCTTCTTCTTCTTCTTCTTCTTCTTCTTCTTCTTCTTCTTCTTCTTCTTCTTCTTCTTCTCCTTCTTCTACTACTACTTTTTCACGCTTGTGCTTCTTCATGTCTGTTGCACCTACTGATCTTTCCATATCTTTGGAGGTCAACAAACCTCTCTTCATCCCTGTGCTGTATAAATTACACATAGTTCGTGGAACTCTTGAGGCATTCATTCTCTTTATATGCCTGAGCCATTTTTCTCTATATGTAATTTTTTTATTGATGGCATATATAATAATGTCTTCTCTCACAATATTGTTTGTTTTATACTCTAATTTTTAATGCCCCGCCAACCGCCATATGAATTTCACTGGTTTCTAGTTTTCTTTTTTCTACTTATGATAACCCAATTCTCACATCCATACAGCAGAATGCGAACTGAAACTGCTCAATAAAATTTCAGTAAGATGTTTGCTGTTTTAATCCCCTAGTAAAAACAGGAAAATAATTTAAAACATGTGATTAATTTCAGATATCCCTAAATCGGTTCTTAGGACGAAAGTGACCAAGAGCGGAAAATAGGTTAGATTTCGTCCGTGAATTTAGTCTATTGTTTTTGTATTATCAAATTAGATAATGAAAGTTTCGTTAATTGTTCGGATCATTATGTCATTATTTTGTCATTTACATTTCAATTTTAAATTAATAAACACTATTGCCATCAAATTAAAGCCCCTACCGGCACGAAGTTCAATGGCAGAGGTTTGTAAACCAGATTTAAAAACATAGATGCTGAAAAAAGTTATATCTTCATCCAAACATAAAACTAACTTTCTCAGGTACGTCCGAAAAGCCTTGGGACTCGAGATCACAAATGGGAAGAATGCTTTAGTGAACAATATTATGTGATTGGTTAGTTGCTCATGAATAAATAATAAAGTAAGGAAAATATCTAAAGGGCGGAGAAAAAATATTGCTTCTCTATAATGTGCTATAAAAAAGAGAGGTTGTACGCACTTACATTAGCTCACGACAACGCGCCGTCGAATTGTACCAGTGAAATATCGCAGCTGTTTGAATTTGTTTCCATTGAAGGCTTTTCGGTGATACCATAGACGCTTCGTTTGGTGCCCTCATATGATCACGGATCCGGAATTCCTTAAGATTCGACGCTTTGCAAATAACTAGCTGAAACAGAATGTGGACACTCGTACTTACAATTTACTAACCAATATTAACATATACACACTATTCGTTTGATTTTCCTCGATCGAGCGCATCTGATTCTACGTGTTCATTGCCCACTGTCAACTGATTTGGGTTTGTTCGCTCGCATACAGCTGTCTCTTTCTACCTCTCTCTTGAGCATCCTTTAACGTTTCGCAGCGTTTGCCTTGTAGGATTTTTGTCAGCTTTGCATTCTTTAGTTTCTTCTTTACACAAACGTTTTCAGTAAATCGTCCTAGTCTATGAGAGTGTTTCTCAATCAAGATTAAAATTCTCTGTTTTCTCTCATAGTTTCATGCGGATTTTTTCTTCAATTCCCCGAAGCACCTCATTACTCCTAATTTTATGCAGGTATGGATTTAATCTCCTCCATAAACATTTTATTACTACATAAATTTCCATTTCTGCAATCTATTACTACGAAAATAAATCGACATTTGGTAGGACTACAATTAGTGTGGCAGGATTTTTATCCGCTTCGTGGAAGTAGCTCGAGGGAGCGTGTGGCGTTTCGAGATGCGCGGCAGTTGTCCTGTTTCGAAGGCTCGTGGCGGGTGCCGAGGGCGAATGCTTGAGACCGAGGGTGAGCACATGAGGGGGCGTGGTCGGCGGAAAGCGGCTTTGCTGCCTCCCCCGCTCTGCGTGCCCACCCTCCCGTCCGCGGCCTCATTAGCCTCTCGCGCAGCCGCCACGCCCTCGGGGTGTTCCCAGGGAGACGGGTGGGATGTTATACGATCGTGCTCATTGCGCACTTCCTGACATTTTCCGTTTGTCCGAGTCGTTTGATAGTTCGAGAGGTTGCTGTCACAACAACGTATGTTTCGAAATAATTGTAACCACGTTTTAGCATTAGTAAAATTTATGAAATAGTGGAATTTCAGAGGTATTGCGGTGTGATCGGAACTTCATAACTTTATTTTTCTAATTTATATATGCTCACTTATTTGAATCTGCATTATTGAACACTAGAATATGTTCAGTGAATAAATTCCATGACGTGACACTCCCACAGTCCACAGTGGTTTTCATTTATGAGAATATAAATTCATGAATTTTTGTTTTGATTAAGTAGAGTGTATTAGTAAAATGGTAATGTGCTAATTATTATTAATTCTCTAATTTATGTAATTTGAAGGGAATCTAGTGCTGAATTGTGGAACATTAAAACATTGCATATTAATACTTAATTTGCCTGTACATAAAGTCAACATAAAATATAATTAAATTACTAATAAAATTGGGTTCAAAGCTATTAGCTTCTGCTTCTTAAATATTACCATAGTTTATTTAGAGACCAAATATCACTATTTTTTGGCTAGATAGATTATCATTAAAGAGAAATTACATGGTGTAAAATACCATCAGGTGTATTGTATGTCAATTAAAATTATTTTTTGCCGCCATCATGAATCAACGTTTCGTTATTTGGCTTTTTTGCAGGCTGTTTTACTGCTGATTAATTGGGACCTAGTGGTAAGAAGAAAGCAGTAGAAATTACCAAAACCGGTAAGTTGCAAACTTTTCTTATTGTTTTAAACAATACAATAATAACAATATCGCGAAATTTAATGCTTATTTAGAACATGTCATTCTTGATATACATTTATTAAGTCTAATTCTCTTTGTATGTGCCTGCATGACATATCATTAACATTTCCTGAACTCCAAAGATCTCTACTTGTACTGAGTTCCATTGTCGACGACGATGATCGTTTACTTTCATGCCCGATGATTGGAACGTGGCGAACGCGAGGGTTGTATGTGAGTGAGTGGGTGGGTTGCGGGAGTCCTGCCTTTCAAAACCAATGTAGAAAAAATCAACATAGAGAAACAAGACAAAAAAGCACACAGGAGAAACAAAAATACAATTAGGCGATTGTACAATAAGTAATTCTTCACCCCGCCCGTCACTTACGATGTGAATCACCGGCAACAATGAGTTGAAATACCAGATCAAGAAATATATTTGCAAAGTAGTGAGTATTTGCCGTTTAAAACTTGTTACTTAACTAAACAGCAAGAATATAAAGAAAAAGACCGTCTGTGGCTGCCAAATAAACGGCACCGCTGAGGATAAAACGATTTCTCTCAAATGGCTATTTTTGAGATGGTCACTTTTCTTGTGCACCGACCGTACACGGAGAATTATCTACCATGACTACACGGAACCAGGACAAAACAGTGAACCCGCCACCCCTGCCCGTTCGAACCTCTGCATCCGCCCCTGCAGGCAGAAGTTGGCTGCGGAGCCCGACGCGTGGGCGGGAGGAGCGCGGACCACTTGTTAGAACGCGCGAGAGGCCCGACGCGCAAGCCAAACACAGCCCGCGATCAAAGTATTACGATCGGAGGACGCGACGTTTGCGGGAAGGCGAGTGCCAAGACAAACGGAACCCCGGGCAGCTGCCTCCCCAGCCGGAAACATAAACGGGCGCCGAGCACTGCCGCGTTGAAGGCAACGCGCGCCGGCGCGAAAACTGCGAGCAGCTTTCCGCCCTCCCACCCCTCCCTCGGGGAACCATCATCTAATCGGGCGCGTACTGACTTCAGACGATTAGTGTTAGCGAAAGCGATTTAGAATATGCGATTTTATAATACATCAGGTGCGCGATTCTTTAAATGTTAAATGAAGAACATCTCTAAATTAAAGGGCTTTGGCGTAAAATATTCTCTCAAATTCAAAAGTCTCAAAATTGCAGTTTACGTGATTACTTCTATTATTTTTCTCCTTTTAACGGAACCTCGGAAAAGCTGATGTGAGTAAGTATATTGTACAAAACAAACCTGTCAGTTGCATCATCTTACACGTCGTCTAGATTCACGCAACAGGACAGCAAATGAAGTTGTTATTACGAGAAACTACAATACGAATTCGTTCGTTTTTATACATCTTTTACTAACTGGTACGTTTGAAGCAAAAATAGCTTACCATTTTCGGAACAAGAACGGAATTTAGGAATTTGTCGAACGTGTGCGCATGAGAACAAGTTCACAAATAGCAACAACGACTTTTATGATGTGTGCAGTCGAGTACCTGGTGGCCATGCGGACGAAATCGTACGGGGCCAGAGTGGAATTGTTCGCATGGCGAACAGGATTCCAGCGACTCGACCGATGCCGCCAGCGTGCCGATCTAGCGCACCGAGTGGCAGTGAAGTGGCAATGAGACTGTCCGAAACGGTGGCAAATATAAATGTTGGAGGGGACCTTTCAAGCCCCATTGTGGCAGGGCTATTGATTCCATTAAATCCTATTAATATCCAACACTCCAAATACAGGTTTCTTTTAACACGTATACACATGTTTCTTATTGTACTTCAACAATTAAATAATAATAATAATAATAATAATAATAATAATAATAATAATAATAATAATAATTTGAAAAGGTAAAATAATTAGTAAATTATACTGTTCAATCATCGAAATCATATTAAGCAGAGAAAAAACAATGTTCACATCCCTTAGTTATTAATATAAGGTATTAAGTGTTCATTTTTTTTCTATTTGAAATTTTACTTGGAGTGTATTTATTGTCGTTTTACGTGTAGTGTATCCAGGCTCTTCATTCATCATAAAAAATATTTGTAATTCTCGCTCAGGCGTTCTTTCGTGCTGTGAGATTTAATATGAGAGTTGAATGTAAACGCAGATGTATCTAATACCGCAGTTGGAGAAAGGAAAGAGAGGCGGTGGTAGGGGTTTTGCCGTGGTCATCGTCTCCAGCGCCATGGCGGTGGCGGCGACGTGGGCAGCAGCGACGTAGGCGGCGGCTGCGGCGGCGGCGTTGGCCCGGGCGGCCCTTCCATCTCCTACTTCCGCGCTGATTTCACCGGGCGCGCCTCCCTCCCCCGCCCGCTCCTTCCCCGCACGCGCGCGCGCGCTCGTGAATGCGGCGTTGGCCTACCTCGCCCGCGCAGCCGCCGCCACCGCCGTCGCCGTCGCCACAGCGCCGCACCCTGCCCGCGCCTCTCTCTCGCACGCACAATGGGGGCCTCGCCGCCGCCGCCGCCGCCGCGGAATACGGAACCCGCTTTTCCCTGGCGGCTCCGGGGCCGCGCCGCTCCTCCGCTTCGCACAACCGCCGCCGCTGCCACCGTCTCCACGCCGTGCGACGGCCTCCACGGGGATCCCGCGGTACTTCCGAGTCTGCTTTGCTCGACGCGGAAGCGAACTCCGCGCTGGAACGCACACCCAGCGTTCGTGGCCTCGCAGCAGCAATCGAACTCCGAGGATGAGACCATATTTCCAGCTCCCTTTTACGTATGTTTTTGAAATTCGCACACAACTATATATATCTGCGATACGTTAGGAACACTTAAGCACGTTCTACACCGTTTATTTCCAATTCTTGATCCAACTGCTCAAAAGTACCTTTCATGTCATGAGGGCCCTTAGGTTCGGAGAAATGTTCTCTTCCCATTCTAATGTTTAAATATTACCGTAATCGATATTTATTAATACCTCATGAAATATTTACCCCATAATTATTGATCATTTCCATGACTTGAACTAGTGTCGGGATCCCTTAGAGTTTTCCATATACAATTTCATTTGCATTACTTCATTCCATTTCAAAGATATTCCTACAAATGTCGCGTATGTTTATCCACCTGTTCTTATAATATAATGACAACCAGTTCGTTTGTGACCCGTTGATACAAAAAAAGGGAATGAAATGTTATTGAAGGTATACCCAAAGGAAACACTCCGCGTCCTCTATCCACAGATGGCACGCACTCAACGGCCTTCGTTTATTTTCACGAGCTGCGAAGTGACAGGTTATAACGGGCGGAACGACAGTTTGCGAGCGCCCTTTCGTGGAATGGATCGGAGGCACAATCATATCCCGTGGAAAAACACGCCAACAACACCAAAGAAAAATAAATACAATTAAACAACGAACACATCGCATTTTAAAATTTGGCGGAAATAACAATAGTGGGAAGTAATATCACCCTGCAGTCTAGAATACAATGCGTTACCATTTTTTATAATCTTTTCACAAAGTATGTTTAAGATTTAATTCAAAATATATCAGTAGTGCATCATCTACCTAAAGGTAGGGAGATGAATACACTTTTTGAAAGTTTTGAAAATTCATATTACTCCTCTTTTGCGATAGCAGGAGTATCAAACATGAGATACCAATGCAATGTTTTTCTTAGGATTGCTCAAAAGATTACGCAGAGTGTATATTCTCCTCGTCCTGCCTACAGCCCTATCTCCGCGCTCCTCCGGGTTCCCTCCCCGCCAATTTAGACCCTCTCGAACAAGCGACCGCGGCCGCGGCCGTATTTGCATCCCAAACGCGGCGGCATCTTGAAAAGGAGGATTACTTATCTGCACATCGTCATCTCGCCCTTACTAGCCCCACCCTCCGCCCTCGACGGTCTGGCACGCGGCTTTGGTAGTGGTGGAGGCGGTGGTGCCGGCTAAGGCGGCGACGGTTGCGGCGGAGGCGGCGGTAGCAGTGATCTTCGCGGCAGACTCAGCGACCGCTGCAAGTTGTTGGAAATCACAGACACGCGAACTCCACTCCATTAGGCAAAGCCGACTTCAATAGGTCCCTTTCACCCTCCGGGAACACCACATCAGCCACATCTCTCTCCCAAACTCCGCCCTCGTTACTCCACCTCAGTATCACGACCTACGCGATTTTAAATTCTAGATCGTTACGGAAACACGATGTATCGCTGTTATCATTATTACTTAGAGATACTAAAGGTACCCACTTACCTTCTCTCTTATTGAATTTCCTTTCGTAAGACGTGTTCGAGTGTGCATAATGGCGCACGCGAGAATGCGTGCATCCGTGCGTCCATGCATTGCGCGTCGTGGACAATACCTCAGCAAGTTAAGCTGCAGTTCTAAGCGTAGTGAGTGATGTGCGCTTCGCGTGTGCATGTTTGTGATAAAAGAGATTAAAGGAATATTTATATCTGAAACTGTTGGGTCTCTCATTACGTGTCCACAAACAGAAAATTGTGCACTGTTTGCACGATATGATCCGCCATTAATGATTTTCTTGAATTGAATTGAATTGAATTTGCCCTATTTTACGTGGCGAGACTCTGCTTTTCTCCTCTGCTTTTCGTAATCGTAAACTACATTTGGCAAGAAAGATTGATATTACAGGTTCCATGTGCTTGTGTGTGCAAATCGACGTCAGTGCCAACGCGTACCGTCGGACACAATGAGAAACACGATGGCCGCTTCCAGCTTCCGTATCCCCTCCCATGGCCGCTGCGTCGGTCGGGAGTGCGGTCCCTCACTTCCAGGTGCAAACCGCCCTCCCATTTCCCGCGTCCCCAGTTCCGCGCCCGCGCCCACCACCAGCTGCCTGCCGGGGCACTGGGCCCGCCGCGCCGCCCCGACCGCCCAGCGGGGCCCTCGGAGGTAAGAGGTCGCCACGCGTTGCTCGGGCGGACGCAGAGGGCTGTGAAGGAGCGCACCAGCCACCACCATCCAGCTCTCCCTGGCCAGCTTTCATCAGCTC